TAAATGTCACTTCTCCAGCCCCCTTTTCCCATGGCCAAAGGGAACACATGTTTCATAACACTCGAATTCCACCGAATCGAGGACGACGACGATCGCGTGAACAAGTAAATGCCAAGCAATAATTTTTTTATTGCCAGCCAATGCCAAAAACATTTCGCATCGAGTGTAAGTACATATTGAAATAATGGTATTCCCATTCGTGTACGAGTATCTGTGTGCTTGAACGTACACACATATGTCTCTCTGATAAGCAGCCAAAGTCCTTGTTATTGTAGCCGTTAAATCCGCATATATGTATGTACACAAAAGACCTGAACTGGAATCATTCCCACATGAATATCCGTGGGCGTAGCATATTTGCTGCATTCACGATATTTATGCCCTTCGCTTTAGTGTCGGTTTAATCGGACTCTTTGATTTTACAACACCATTATGCACTTTTAGTGTGATTGATTGCAGGGGAAGGGCTACTTCACATCTTGAACCCCCTTATCCTATGTCCAAAAATAACACATATGCAATGGCTCTCCAGTGTGTTTTGGCCTCAAATTTAGCTGAGATAGATTTCTAAGTCAGTTAATTTAAAAGTGCTTAAATGGAATTAAATCTAATAAATATACCGCAAAGCCAAAAGAAACTAGAAAGAGAGTCGATTTACGTGTGTATACCTTGCAGCTCGACAATTAGTAAACGAATATTTTCTGTACCACTAAACTAATAGAAGGGCAACGCCAGGGACTTGTTCATGTTCATGCTTCAGAACCTACCGCTAAGCCCCACTGGAATATTGGGAGAGAGAGAGAGCAAGCTACCAAAAGCACTGCAACTTCCGGTGCATTTAAGAAAGTTGAATTATTTTTATACTCAAAAATACTATTTCCTGCATCGATTTGTTTTTATCAAACATTGCTATTGGAACTACATATACATATGATAAATTGGTTCGATCTGGCCTACCGAAAGAAAGCTGTCGCTGTAAAAGTTCGACATAGCTTCAATTTGAGGGACTAGTTTGCATATAAAAACACGGACAGATTGTGTCTATTTTGTACATGCAAATATCTACATACCTATACATAAATTTACATACTTTACAGATACTTCGTTCTGGGCGTTCCATACGTCTGCCCTCTGCTTGGATATAAAAAGTTTATTTTGTAAATACGAAATATTAGCAACAGCTGAAGATAATATTTTGTTTGTTATTTTTCGGCTTAAACTTTTTCTGTATAATGAAAAACATAATGAAGAAGAAAAAGTAGCAAGCTACGCGTAGAAATCGAACATCTGTTGGAATGAGGACAAGCCATAGACGAATCACCTCTCCAAATGGAGGAATGGCGCCAGGTCTTTTATTCATTTCATATTATTCTAGTGGATGGGCAGGGGCTAATTGGTACCGCTAGAAGGTCTTACCCTACAGATCCTTGAGAATTTTCTCATAGTATTTTGGATCTATTATGTTGCCAAAGGTCTTCATTGCAGGCAATGCCGGTATTACCGTGCACTTCTTGACGCTCATCCGTGCTGTGGTGGTATGCAACTAAGCACACTATCTGTGTTGGTATTTCTTATTCAGACCCTTGCAATGGTCTGGGACGGAGCATAGTCACGGCAACGCCGGACAGTGGAGCCTTCGGCCATTTCAGCTTTCTAAGTTAATAGCTTCTGAACGAATCAGTATATGGTCGTGGAATAAACTGCTCTTGAAAGGAAAATCTTTCAAAGTTTAGTCTGCACGAGAACATGGTGCTGCAATGTCTAGAAGCTTTACAATAAATAGTCAAAGTTGAACATTGATTCCGGTGCATATTTGCCTGTTTGAGGTGCAGACTAAATTTTGAAAGATTTTCCTTTCAAGAGCAGATTATTCCGCGAAGATACACTGATTCGTTCAGAATTTATGAATTTAGAAAGCTGAAATGGCCGAAGGCCCCACTGTGCGCCGTCACCTGCGTCCTAAAGCATTCCAATTGTGCAGCCAGACTGTCGACTGGCTGGAAGTGCTAGGAATCCTCCGAACCATTTTCTCCCGATTTTCCCAGACTACATAGCTCGTTGTGCAAGGTGCATAAGTGCCCCATATCATCACTGTTTGGTGCGGATACTGAGAGAAGGGAATCAAAGCCGGCCGATGCCATCACCCTTGTTAAAGCATTCAGACTGTTTTATCTGGATTGTCAAGTTACATAAGCGGAAAGGGGAATATGCATTTATTTCTATTATGAATATATTTATGACTGCCAATATACATCTGAATACTTTCTTGGCGCTGTGCTTAACAATTGGGCGCACTACTAGCATCAGCTGATCATCATTATATAATTCACACCAATCAGAGATATTCCATTCGATCTAACCACTTCAGCGATACGCGTATAAATAAATAGCAGACTTCAAACACCGACAATTTATAGTCGAAGTATTTGTTCACGGGTAGATAGTACGAGTATGTACTCGGATAAATCTTTTCACCTTGTGGATGGCCTTGCCAAACATTTGGCTCCCGTTAAACCATTTGCAGTTTTCTGCGGTTGTCGAGTGCATCCGTGCGGCGCTGTGGCGTCACTGCAACGCAACTTACTGCGGTGAGTGTTTCAGATTGTTTCGCATTTAAGCAGAACAAAAGAGGAACAACTTTAGGCCCAACCTATCAGACTTATCAGTTGCAGTCGTCGGTCCGACTGTTGTTCAGGATCGAAATCAAAAGGAAGTTTTTGCAGCCGTTTGCCATTAGCAGAAAACAGGAAGAACACTTTTCAGTTCTAAAACAAAACTTTCCCGCTTATTTACAAGCTCTGTTCTGACTGCGACTGTACGAGTAGTTGGTCGGACTGCTGCGGAGCACTGAACCTCCCTCATGCATAATGCAGATGGGTTGGACATGCACCATCTCGAAAAGCTTCTCGGTCCGTTTAGCGAGACAGATACGAGTATGCATGGCATTCTTCATTCATTCATCCATTCACTCACTCCCTCATTCATCTGGAGCGTAGCTCTCTTTCCAGCTTCACCACAGCCCTGGCCACAGTGCCTGCCATTTATTTACTGTCCAGCCTCTCTGGACTGGCAGGCTAATTAGGGACAGCCGTGTGGGATTGTGCTCCGCTAACGACCCGCCTGAATAATTCATAAGCCAGCAGACCCCAGTCCCATGCCTCTCCCTCGCACTACCCACTCATTCAAGTTTTGGTCTCGTTTCGTTTCCTTTCCTTTCGGTTCGCTCTATGTCTGTGGCTTCAAAAACAACCGCAAACATAACCAAAATGTAAACAGGAACATCCTCTGGCTAGTTGAATTTTGTACCAGATTCCACATATCACTGAAATATATCTCCAGACGGATGCACACATGTACATAGTCCTGTAATTATATGGACATCTAACCAGTCAGTAACTACTACAGTGAAAGTTTTATAGAATTGTAAGCACAGTCTTATATGCTCATTCAATATACACACTTTTCCCTTTCCGATTAGCCCCAAGAGACTATGCTTTTAGACGCCATCAACTCTTTGCTTTTAATCAAATTAAATGTATTTATAAACTTTACGACCTCTGCCACATATTCAGACATATACTAGACATTATAGACAATCTCCTCCATAAAGAATATAAATAAATATGGGGTTCAAATAATGTATGTTTTGCTTGGTATTTATCAGACATCATGCATATGGTAATTCTTGTTCTTACACTCGCATGTAATATTTTAAGTTTGTTTACGTTGGGGCACCTGTCTGGCCTCGGGAATTTGATGGAGACGACCTTAAAGGGCTCCTTTCTTGTCGGCACGTTTTTCATATTTCTGTTATTTCTGTAATTTCTGTAATCCATTACCAAGACTTGCCCATCTGTCAAATGGACGGAGCCCAGTCTGGGTCTGGGTCCTGGGCCCTGGATCTGAGTCTTCGCCAGAGCCCGCCAGCTGACTTCAAAAGTTCTATTCGCTGGCCATTTGAGGAATAAACTTTTAGCATAAAGAATATTTTTCTTAACTGTAAGCCGATTATAGCGAAGATGTAATGCTCTTTGATATCATTGTTGAGTTTGTATAACACGCAACGTAAATTTTTTTCCTTCAATAAAAAATAAGACTTTTGCGAAAGATTCTCTGATGAAATTTTATATGCGTACATATATATTTTTTTTCAACACGATTTCGTTAGAGTATCCTATAAAAGATCACAAATATTTGAAAGAAAACTTCAAGGGAAAACTGCAAGGGAATTTTTATTACCAACTGGAACTAGGTAGCAGCAACTCCAGCAGGCACATGGCTCATGGCTGGGCGAGATTTGTGCTCTGGCAGGGCACAAGTTTTGGCTGACTCATGGTAGTTGATTTACTGCTCTTTGGGGCTTGGCAAATGTAGGGAAAATACTTCCCCTACCTCCCCTACTACCGTCTGCCCGACAACTAAAAAACTTCTGCCAGATGCCAGCCACGGTGCAAGTTTTCTTGCATTTGCTGCCACTGTCATAAAATACATGCTGGTTCGCTGTATTTCGACTAATGCGTTGTTCTTTGTCAGTGGAAAAAAAAACACGATTCCTTCATCAGAATCCTGTTTGATTCGGTGAGCAATTCTTTTGGCTCTGCCCCTGCTGCAATCGCAATCAAACGATGAGCGTCAATCCAATTGAATCTCGAATTTTTGTCTAAAAGAAAGCGAACCACGATTACGAGCATGCGGGTAAAGTTCTTTTGTGATATTAATACTTGTATATGCAGTGATTTTTGTGCCTTTGGTAACCTTTTGGCGGAAAGAGAGACCTAAGCACCTTTGAATATTTGATTCCATATCAAAGACCCTTTATTCTGGATGTATCCACTCGAATGAATATGAATTTGAAAATTATTAAATGGTAAATATTTTTGTAGAAGTTATGGACACGAGGAGTATCAATACCAGATGGTTCCCTTCTATTGAATATTCCACCGATATTTATATTTCTATAAAATTATATTTCTAGCATCTCCCACTCAGATCGTACTTACCCTATCTCAGTTAATTCGTGTAGCGATTTCTCCGCCTCCGCCTCCGCCTCCTCCTCCTTCAGCCAACTCGACCATCACATCCGACACCCGGCTCGTCTCGAGGACACTGATGCCCGTGGTATTGTCGGAGCTGACGAATGGTGTCTCGCTGAAGCGCACTTCCACCGTCTGCTCGTCGCCAGAGTCCAGGTAGTCCCCATCCTCGTCAGTGCGCCGACGGACGCGCCTCATCAGCTCCACCTGCTGCGGCTGCTGGAGATGCTGCTGGTGGTGTTCCCCGCCATGGACGAGGGCGGCGTTGATGCTGCGTCCGCTTAGAATGGGCGACACTGCGCCTGTGCCATTGCCATAGGTGGGCTCGCGGGGTATGATCAAGAGCTTCTCCTTGGGCAGGCAGGTCTCCTGGGTGATGCCGTTGTCGTCCTGATCCTCCGCGTCTCGACTGCCCCCAACCCCGCCCTCGCCGTTGCCATGATGGAGGCGGGGACCGCAGGTGTTGCGGTCGCTGCGATTGTAGCCACGGGTGATGTTGATGATGTTGTTGTTGGAGGGATTGAAGCAGGGCAGGACGTGCTTGAACTCCTTGCGGAAGTTCTCGTTGAGCCAGGCGTACAGGAAGGGATTGTAGCAGGTCGAGCTCATAGCAATGGAGTGGGCCACGAAGAAGAACAGTATGTAGAACCTCCACTCGTTGGACTTGACGTCAAAGTCGTCGAATATGTTTACCAGATTGATGGGCAGCCAGCTGAGACCGAACACAGCCACCATGCAGATGAGCATGCGGTTGGTTCTCTTCTTGCGATCCCGATCCGCCTCCTCCCTCCTCGAGGACTTGGAGCCCGGCTTGGCCCTGGCCCGCTGGTTCAACTTCACCGAGATCCACACGTAGCAGATGGAGATGATGAAGAACGGCAGCACGAACTGCAGCGTGGTGGTGATGGCCCCGAACACCTTGCGATACTCCTCCGACGGCCAGTTCTCCTCGCAGACCATACGGGTGTAGGACAGATCCGTGCTCACCCCCGACGTCATCACCTGCATGTAGGCCTGGGCGGCGGAGGTGGCGTCGGGCGCCTCAATGAAGGCTGTCCCATCGTAGCTCGTGTTGAAGATCATGGCCGCCGCATCCACACTGCTCTCGTTCGCACCCATCTGGGTGCCGTTGATCACCTCGTTGGTCATCTTCACGTACATGCCATAGGGCACCGTGGCCAGCAGTGCAATCACCCAGATGCTCACAATGATCCCGATGCAGGTGGAGAGCTTCATGCGCGGGTGGAATGGATAGATGATCACAAAGTACCGATCGATGGCTATGGAAGTGAGCGTCAGCGTGGATATGTAGATGCTGCAGCCCTGCGCGAAGGACACCAGGTGGCAGAGCGTCCGCCCGAAGGCCCAGCGGCCCATGAACGTGTACAGCGGCGTAAAGGGCACGCCCAGGACGCACAGAAGGATGTCGGATAGGGCCAGGTTCGTGATGAATATGTTGGTGACCGTTTGCATCGCCCGATTCCTCAGCACCACATAGCAGACCAGGACATTCCCAAACACTCCCAGGACAAAGACGGTGGCGTACAGCATGTAGAAGAAAATCTGCACAAACTGATTGTGGATGACGCCCCCCGACTTGTCCACCTCAATTTGGGCTGCTTCTGCGGCAGCCGCTGCTGCTGCCGCAGATGCCGCGGATGCCGCAGCCACTGCTGCCGCTCCTACGGATGCCGCATCCGCCAGACTGATGCTCGTCGCGGCCGTGGTCAGGCTCCAGTTGGCAGTCGTCAACTGTGGCAGCTGCGTTGTCGTGGTCGTGGCTAGCCAGCTGAGGTTGGCCATCTTGTGGGCTTTGTTTGGCCTGGCTAATGGGTTGAGTGGTGGGTCAGAGTCGGAGGAGCTTGTGTGTCCTATCCTACTCGGTGGGTACTCGTCTTCCGGTTGGGGATGCGCTACGCCGGATGTGCGGCACTTAAGCGGCCATTTCCGTCGTCGTCGTCGTCTATGTTGATCTCCCTACGTTCCTATTCAGCAAATTTGCTTCGCTACTTCGCTCATTGCTAATTGACTGAGTCTCCGGATCCTGTAAAAGGAGATGAACGGTAGAGAGAGGTTTTAGTTGAAATATTTTCTATAAGCAGTGGGGGTGTAAAAGGTTTTCGAATCATCATCCTATCATTATTATGGCAGCTTAGCCTTATATACGTATTACTTATACCTTGCAAACTTGCTGCCATCAGTGAGAAACTTTCCGGTGATGTTGTAGATCCCTTCATTAAAATTCACACAAAAGTTTTTAGTTAGGAATCGCTTGTCAGATGGACTTTAAAAGTTCGTTCTCTCCCCTGCACCGCAGGCCGCCTTTTCCCCCGTACTTTGCCTTCTGGCTTCTGCCTTTTGGCCAAAAGGGATTAAGTTGTTGCCTTGACTGGCTTTTATTTTTAGTCCCTGTCAGACACGCTTCCGAGGAGGAGCTCACGCTCAGTTTCGTGGGTTTCGGGTGGAGCGAGATTATTAAAAACAATGCGATTGTGGCAGTAACTGTCTCTGTCAAATGTGGGGGCGAGTGCAGCAGGGCAGCAGGGCAGCAGGCGGTAGGCGGCAGGGAAGACGGTCGGAGGAAACCATGATACTGGCATGGTCAAAGACGGCTTTAAGCCAGAACTCAATTGTTGGCTGATGCTGCAGCAGTCTTTCTCCACACAATTCTCATCACGTCGTGCACTTGACGGGCGGAGCTTAGAATTCCGATTACCCCGAATGGCCACTGGCAGCATAGAGTTTCCCAATTAGACTTTGCATCCAATCGGAACAATCGATTATCGCCTGGTGCCTGCCGGGGCAAACAAAGAGATAGACCAGAACACACCAAAGCGCTCCATTGTGCCAGGCTTAGTTCTGAACAGAGAGCAGAGCGGCTTTTAATTTCGTGTTTACAATGGGGAAGTACATCGGGGCTTTATTGCTGCCTCAAATGGTCGAAAATGTGGCAACCCACCAAACGAAAATGCCGATAGTTGATGGCCTCTGATCACGTTCGCTAAGCAAATGCAAATTTAATTGGATTTCCCTAGCACAGCACTCTAGAGAAGTTTTGCCGAATGCCAAAGTATCCACATTCAAACCCCAGTATCCCAGCCCCAACCCCAGGCAAAGAATCCGGCTCTAACTGTAGCACCAGCCTTAGGGCCAGACGGCCTAGAACAATGTTAGTTAAGCTGCAACTTTACCAGCTAACGCCACGCCCCTGCATTGCCTTGCATGCATGTATTCTCGGAGGACGAACATTTTACAAGGCTGAGAATGGAATTTTCACTCTTAATGAACACACGTATGTATGCTGAACAACCTGCTTCCCAGATAACTAAGCCAATACACTCAATCCAATTAGAGCCCATACACAATGTGGCTTTGGAGGAAATAAACCATACTGGAAAAAGCTTTAAAAGAAGCCAGAAAAATCATGAAAAATTTATTTTATACGTATTCCTTGAGAGGATTACATATAAAGCTCAGAGCCCTTTAAAGTGCAACACCAAGTGAATCAATGGTTAAAGAGAAACTTTTTTGTAAGTATCAAATGTAATTACTTTATTAATTACATTCCCATTCCCTTCGATATTCCATTCATCATTAAACTCTGAAAATTAACGCTAAATATTATGCCAATTATGTGCATAAATCATCCCCGTGAATAAACCCTTAAATTATAAAATGGGTCAGCGGTTGTGATGTAAAAAACGGAGCGCGTCTTATTTTAAACGTACATTTACGCAGGAAAACAATAAAATAAATACTTGTATGATGTAAATATGATATGATATGAAATGATATGCATTTTAATCAACACACAATACAAACACTGCATGATACCCGAAAAAGTACTCAACAAGCGGAGAAATTTGACTCAAGCGCTCAATCCGAAAGGAAGCAAGCCCACAAATTAATTGAGTAAAATGTTGAAAATATTTTCTTCTATCCAAATCCCTGACCTGCCAAATATGCAATATGAACCGTTATTAATCAAAGGGAAAGCCCAAAAAAATTGATACAAATTACACAGGATATTATGCAAAGCAGACTTGCGGCACTGGCGTTGGGGCTATGGCGGAATACCGGAATCCGGTTCGCAGGAAGAATGTCAAAACAAGAGCCCAGGGCCCGAATATAATCATTTTGATAAATTAATAGACGGAAGCAAGGCACAGCCGTAACTCTCTTGCTAAGACCAGGACCAGCAGTAGAAGAACGACCAGGTTATTCGTGTATATCTGTGTATTGGCATAGGAGAACAGCAACAGAGAGTAAAGTTGCCAGTTAACAACTTTCATGGCTGCTGGTGGACAGGGGTGTGAAAACAGCCAAGGCGAGCCATAAACTTTATCAAAATCATTATCAGCAGCCCGCATTGGCATCCCCCAAGTGTCATCATCGTCATTCTCATTCTCATCCCATCCCATCCTCATCCTCTCCATCGCAACGCCTTCGCCACTGCCATCACTGACGCTCCTGCTCACGCGCCTTACTCCCATTATCATTACCAACTGGCAGCACAAAGCAGCTTGAGTGTGTCATTCCGTCCCTTCCTGTCCCGTCCTGTCTTGTTTGGTCCTGTTTTGTCCTGTCTGTCGGCCGCTGGTGTCATCCTGCTGTTCCAGAGCTACTGCTACAACCGTATTGCCACACTTCGTAATTTTAATTTTGATGCATTTGTCACCATTTTTTGCTCGCTTTTATACTTACAATAACTTGTTCCTCGTGCCGCCGCCCTCTTCTTCTGCAACGATTTATCTTTGAGCCCGTGACATAATGAAACAAGGCGTTATGGCCGTGGCGAGAACAAACGTTCACTTTAATGGGATTTTATTCCGCTCACTCCCCTCCCCCACCAGCCCACTTGTACAGTCACAACAGACCGTTAAGCTCCTGCTATAAGTGCTAGTATATTTATATGGCCTACTTATGGACGCGTGGAGCATTTTATGGCTACAAGGTGCATGCGTCTATCCAGAGGCTAAAAACCATTATTGAATTTCTGAATTTTGTATTACTGCGGGCTTAAAGACTCCGCTCACACCATCGAAAGAGAGTCAAACATCGAGTGGAAATACACCAAATAAAGATCTGGAGAGTTTCAGAATTACAGCCACCTGAGAATGGAATCATTTTAGGATAAATAGCCGGAAAGCTTTTAGATTAGGGGCAGACAATAACCAGATAACTGTCGGTTAAATGGCGAGAACATTTCATGTAATAGTCAGATAACTTTCCGATACCCGGAAAATAATCAAATAACAGTCGAATTGTGGTTGGAACAATGTCGGCCAGCAATCAATCAACTTCCAGATAACAGCCGGATTATTTGTGGAATATTTTTCCAAAATACAGTAGTCCAGCATGTTGGTAATCTTCCACTATTATAATACTATTTTATTTTCATGCCTTACAAAGAACTATTCATCTTTTATCAGGATTTCTCCCAGTTAAAGTTACAGCCAGCTAACACCCACTACCAGCATTCCCGCTCAGTTATAACCAGGACACGACATCCGATATCCATTGCGTGTTCTGGCAGAGGAAATATTTATTTTCTCCAACCCCAGAGCAACCTTGACCGCAACCGAGAACAACTTTAGCTAAGCTAAGCCATGCCCCTGCCCCTGCCCCTGCCCATGCCGCTGTGCCTGCCCCGGCCACAGTCGGTGGAATTAACTACTTTTTAAGCATTTTTGGTCTGGCAATCCTCCCAGAACTGCCCCTGCGTGCAGAGGGAAACTATGCCATTAGCCGGCACATAAATTCCATCGACTAATGATGTGGCCAGTGATCAATGCCGGCAGCTGGCCCTGGAGATGAGGCAGTTTAGTTGCGAGTTGCTCAACCATCTTTTCGCACTAATTAACATGGCTAGTTTTATGATAATCAATTACAAAGTTCCAGCAGAAACTTTGGCGCTACTTTTGCTCAAAAAAAAGTGGGAAACGAAGAAAGTTTTATTCGCCATCAAAGAAATTACTCAACAGATTAGGGGCCACGACAGATGAATGGAATTGAGATGAGATGAGATGAGATGAGATGGGAACATGTGTTCACTGTCTATGTCTATGTCCATGTCCATGTCCATGTCAGTGTCATGGATCGATTGATGACGCGGATTTTAATTAAAATTTCGCTGGAGATTGTTTTCTGCTGCCATGGCAGCACCAGCACTTAAAATTGTTGCCCAGACTCGTAAGCAGCCACTTTGCATATTGTTGAAAACTTGAGCGAATTATTATTCGTTCACATAAGTATCTGATGATGATATGCGAATGCGTACGCATTCAGGCATACACTTATACATGGGAACAGGGGCTATATATGATTTATAGTATGCCCAGCAACTAATTAGAGAGTTTATTTCCATTTAAGCTCCCACTGCACTCGATTCGAGGGCACGTCGTTCAGCAAACTGACTCACTCACTCGTCAGTACGGCACATGCACACCAGTATCGAGATCTATAGATATGAGTGCGAGTATATCCACATACATACTATATACACATGTATGTGTATACATATATCACAATGCAGACAAAGTAAAATTCATTGTGGAGCTGCAGGGAAATCTGTACACCCTTCCCTTTACTCAGAGGCGAGTAGTAATCGATCTTGGACGCAACATCAGTGAAAGAGGAAGTCAATAGATTTAGCTATTATCATCCATTATAACTAAAATATTTAAGATATGAAAGAACACTTCCTATGCAACCTGTTTGATGCCTTCTCGTGTCTGTGTGGACCTAATCAATGCTCGGCAAATAGCCTGAATAAATTATAATACAAACAGCTAAATAAAAGAACCAAAAATAGCAGCAAATTACTTCGACACGAGCCCTCGCCCTCCCGCGAGTACCCTCGTTTGGGCCGGGCTAAGCCCATTACGTCCCCAGTGGACAGACAGAGCGGACTGATGCGATAAGCGTCAGCGACATTCGCATAAAGATAACGCTGAAATCAAACTAAATGGCTAAAATTGGCAGGCAGGCAACAGCAACAGCAACAGGAAATCCAGGCGGCAATATTTTATCAGAAAACAGAAA